TAGCTCGGCGACACGGCCTGCAACAGTGTATATTATAATATTATATTGAAGCAAAGTTCTTCCATTTAAACCGTTTACATATTCTGTTGTTTCCGTGGCCTACCGCAAATAACAATCCTCTGAACCAATTATTAACATAAAATAAATGTAAAATAATCAAAACACATTTTTGGGATTAAATATTTTTTTTCAAATTATATCAGTCTCTTATTCGAATAAAATTCCCTGAGAATTTCAGTTGGAGGCTTACATCTTTAACATCAACATGACAGGCGCGGATCCAAGGGGGGGCCAAGGGGCCATGCCCCCCTCCGTAGACTCACGCTTAAATGGACTTGCATTACTTGCATTTTTATCAGACTTATAGGCTGAAATTTTATTTAAGATGCCCTCCCCCCCCGTAAATACGTTCTAGATCCGCGCCTGCAACATGAGAGGGGGCTTTAATCCCACACAATTAAGAAGCTATCTGTTTGGGGAGAGCTAATGGGGGGGGGGGGGGTTGTGCTAATTTAAAACTAACTAACCTAACCTAACCTACCCCCTTACTTAAACAAGTTAATTTCAACAAAAAAACATTACTCTTATTATATTAATATAATAGTAATATAGTATTGTAGGTATATTTTACACCATAAGTTATTTTTATTAAAACCTGAATTGATACCGGCTTATGGTGGAACGGTATGAATAACTTCATATTATAAGTAGACAGTTTAAAATGAATCTAAATATTTTGAATATGTCGACGTGTAAAGTAAAATATAATAAAATACGTAAGAGTTGCATATAAGAGAAATTTTGTACTAAATGTTCACTCCAGTCTTCAATATCCAATATATGTATTAAATGTTTAATTGAAAATTTCATACATTTTTGTCAATAAAATAATTTCCAAATTTTCTCGAGATTGACAAATTTTGTTAAAATTTGAAGTTGAAAGGCAGTTAAAAAAATCGGCTTTATGTATCTTCCATATTATGACTATATAAGTACAATTTATGTTGGATCTTGTAACAAATCCTCAAGGTTGTTGACTAAACCTAATCAACATTGTTATCAGACAATTTAAAATGCATATTTATAGCTTGAATTTAATCTAAAAGTTACATACAGTATAAAGTTTTTGAGTTGCAACGAAAAAACTAAAATCGTTTCTTGGAAAATCGTTATTTATTGAATATTCAATTCTGTCAAAATTA